AGTGTTGCTGAGAATCCAGGAACATCAATTCGGCAGCGTGGTCAAGTATTGGACATTTCAAGAAATTCTCTACGGCGTATTCTCACGAAAGATTTGCATTTTCATGCTTACAAAGTTCATTTGACTTAAGAACTGAAGCCTACTGACCACGCTGAGTGAATGGAGTTTGTTGAATGGATTTTGGAACAATAAGTGGATGCTGATTTTTCAAAGAAAGTCATCTTCAGCGATGAGGCTCATTTTCATATTGATGGCTTCTTTAATCTACAAAATTGTCGCATTTGAGGTTCAGAAAATTCATGAGTGGTTGTTGAAAAACAAATGCACCCACAACGTGTCTGTCTGGTGCGGATTTTGGGCTGGAGGTATCATCAGACTTAATAATCCAATTTTTCGTGCCTAAATTGCAAGATATGGATGTAGACCACATGTGGTTTTAACAAGATCGACGGTGCCACATGCCATACAGCTGGAGAAACAATGTAATTACTGCATAAGTCATTTCCTGTTCGTGTAAGTTCCCGTTTTGGTGATCAGAATTGGCCTCTCAGATCAACCGATTTAACGCAGTTGGAGTCTTTTCTTAGAGGTTTTTTGGGGTCTAAGGTTTATGCTAATAAGTCGATGAGTATCTACGCCTGGAAGGAGGAAGTTAAGCGTTGTAACTAAATTCAGTCGCATTTACGCTAAACGGTTAAAGAAAATTTCGACAGAATTGTGCGTAGGTGCTCGCAAAGCCATGAAGACCATTTATCCGATATACCATTCCATACTGTATGCTTGATGAATCCATAAAAAAATTACAATTGTTGCATGAATGTTGGGATACCCTCTATAAGATATGGAAATTCTTTACAAGTCCACCTAATTACGGCGCAATTATAGTATTTTTTTCTGTATACTTATGTGATATTTATTTAAATTTATGTAACTTCTGTAACAGTAAAGTTTTAATTAATGAATTAACTGTTATTTTCGGCGTTTCTGACAAATCTATTTAATTTTAAAATATAATTCCATATTATTTCAGAGCGGTTCATTGCCAAAGATATGAATTATATAGAGCAGAATTTCCTAGATAAAATTCTGGATTGTCATTATATTTGGGTTAAAAATGAGGTGATGCTGCCACAATATTTCATTCAATCACTCAACATATGTAAGTCCTTGTTTAAAAATAAATTATTTTGTAAATATGCCATAATTACTGTTATTAAATCAAACTATACAACATTTATCTTAAATGAAAAATCCTTAATGTGAAGAGGTCAATGTTCAATTAAAAAAAATAATTTGTGATCCACTCACTCGGAGTGCTGAAACTTTCAAACTAAATACATACTAGACATTCCACTCTTATGTAGTCTACGTTTTGTAAAATTTTTTCAAATACTTTAAAGGCGTCAGTTTGAAAAAAAAAAAAACGTCAAACTAACCTAATGTTTACCAATTAAATGAAAGTTGATAAAAAGTAAAATATTATTCGAAAAAATAAACTGAAAACGATTTTTTGAACAACTTGTATTTCTTATTTTACTAATTTTACCAAATCAGTTTAATCAAAATAATTCGATGGTAGGTATATAGGAGTTAATTTTGGTCATCAAATTATAATCGGACCCCGCACAATCCTTATGGAAAAGTAGTTTCTGTTAAATTGGCCACATTTTTTATATGTTATAGCTGTTTTACATTGATAATTTATTCATCAATAAATTGACGAAGTTCTTCATAAATTAATTCACGAATTTATTGGTAAACAGTGTGGTTTTACACTGCTACAGACTTTGTCAAGTTTTTTGACGTATGAATCAGTTCTACCAATGAATCAAAGAAGCAAATAAATTTCAAAAATGTCACCTTTCCACTCATAATTGTAGTGATACAACAGCGGTACCGTTCTGACACATATTATATAAATATTAGTTTTTGTAAGTAACAAATCAGTAAAAACAATGCAAAACTAGCACGACGCCACACAATTATTTACATATTCCAATAACATAACCTCATTACTGATCTGAGGCTGGAAATCTGTTGGGTTGGTACTTCCGAACTTCACGAAGAAATTGACGAAAATTAGAACATGCTCTAATTCGTCAAGAACTTGATGAATAAATTGATGAAGTTATTTGACAGCTGATTTGGTGCATTACACTTGTCCAATTTCTTGATGAAGCGACTTCATCAATTAATTGATCAATAAATTGTCAATGTAAAACAGCTTTTATGCATCTCTGCGTGCTGAACAAATGTCTTCAAGGGCGCAAAGCCCAAAACCCCACGGGTTCCGAGATAAGGTCCATTGAAGTCAGTATCATTGGGTATTGGCTTTACTTAAAAATTAAGCTTTGTTTCAAAAAATCCGTTGGCTTGCTGTTTTATATACAGGGTGTTTCAGAAAGACCTCTCGTAAATTCAGGGGGCGATAGTACGACAAAAAATAAAAAAAAATTTATCTTATGATCTATCTCCTCTTGTTTTCGAGATACAGAGCGACAAAATTAAATTTTTTAAATAGAATTTTTACGAAAATTTCCGAACGATGCGAAATATTTTTATGAAATTTGGTATTCCGGGGTTTTTAAGGACAGCAAATACACTGGTCTAATTTATTTTTGAATATTTCATAGAGGGCGCTAGTATCGCTACATTCCTATTACATTTTAAGTTCTAATTTTTTTAAGGTTAGGTTTTTTACCATTCGGGCTTCAATTTCTAATATACAATTTTATAATCTAAAATTAATGTACTCTTGTTAGAACTTCCTAATATGGACGGTTTTCGAGAAAAAAGGCTTTTAATTGAACTTTTACAATATTACGGTGAAGAAAATAAGTGACTTTTCTCAAAGTAGGCTTATGTCAAAACTTATTGATGGTTGTCTCATAAACAACGCATACATTCTCAGTAATATTTTAAACTCTTAATTAACTTTATATCAAAATTTTAGTGATTGTTAGTGACTGTAGTAATGACTAATTACAGTCACTAAAATTTTGATATAAAGTCAATTCGAGTTTAAAATATTACTAAGAATGTATGCGTTGTTTATGAGACATCCATCAATAAGTTTTGACATAAGTATACTTTGAGAAAAGTCACTTATTTTCTAACCGTAATATTGTAAGAGTTCAATTAAAAGCCTTTTTTCCCGAAAACCTTCCACATTAGGAAATTCTAACAAGAGGACATTATTTTTAGAAAATAAAATTGTATATTAGAAATTGTAACCCGAATGGTAAAAAACCTAACATTAAAAAAATTAGAACCTAAAATGTAATAGGAATGTAGCTAGTAACTAGCGCCCTCTATGAAATGTTAAAAAATAAATTAGACCAGCGTATTTGCTGTCCTTAAAAACCCCCTCATAAAACTATTTCGCACCGTTTGGAAATTTTCGTAAAAATTCTATTTAAAAAATTTTATTTTACCGCTCTGTATCTCGAAAACAAGAGAAGATAGACATATAGTTCATAAGACAAAAAATTCTTATTTTTTGTCGTACTATCACCCCCTGTATTTACGGGAGGTCTTTCTGAAACACCCTGTATATAGAAGGTTAAAGGAACATCTCAAGATCAACTCAGGCTTATTAAATGATGACTCTCCTTTGGAACCCGGAAATTGAAAATCCTACATATGAATTAGTGCTGGCAACTGAAATCGGTTTTTTGGATAGTCGGTTATTCGGTTTCGGATAATTCGGATTTTTACGAAAACCGAAAACTGGTTATTCGGTTATTCGATTCTTCAAATATCCGATTATTCAAATAACCTATTATTCGATAATCTACTTCTTTTTTTTTGAGATCGATTTTTTCGTAAACAAATTTGACTTCCAGATTTTTGTAGACCTTTTTCTCCCGGTCTGTCTTTGTAAAGCACCGATTTTCAGATATCCGGTTTTGGTGATTCAAGTAACGGGTTATTCGAACCGGTTTTAGCAACTATTCGATTAACCGGTTTTATCTGCAATCGGTTTTTACGGAACCCGGTTAACCGGTTTCACTTTTTTCCGGTTTTTGCCAGCACTAATATGAATATGAACTTGTCGATGACCTGGTTGAATTCAGAATCATGTATACGTAAGTCCCAAAATAGAAAAACGGCTAACTGTTGCCGTTTGCATTAGCATTATCCAGATCTTACCGCGCAGAGGTTGCAAAATCGGACTTAAACTCCTTAGTCATCGTCAGTCTGTCAGTCATCCTAGTTGTAAAGTTGATCAGTATAATTTTTATTCTGATTTCGGATCGCGAAGTTATCATAATATACTTGTTTGTATTTCAGTCTAGTGTAGTCAGATTCGCTATTATTAAGGCCATAACCTAGTCACAATTAAGCCCTTTCTAGTATATTTCTTTTTTCCTTTATATTTTTCCGTTCTTTCCATTTCCGGGTTGAAATGAGGGTCATCATTTAATAAATCAGACTTGACCTTGAGATGTTCCTTTAACCTTGACTTTGAAGTAAAGGTCGCAAATACTTCTTTATATATAAAACAGTAAGCTATCAACGTTTTTTTTAAGACAAAGTTTAATTTTTAAGTTAAGAGACAATGCTCGATGATACTGACTTCACTGGGCCTTATCTCGGAACCCGTCGGATTTTGGGCTTTGCATCCATGAAGACGCAGAGATACATATAAAAAATTTAGCCAATTTTACGGAAACCACTTTTCCATAAGAATTGTGCGGGGTTATCAAACAAATTTGATTATAAATTTGACAGACTCTAGGTTTTTTTAGGGACATATGTCATACAATCATATAATTACCAAGAGAGAAAGGAGTATTCTTCCCTCTCTCTCGTGGTACGCTGACGCCAACAGACCTTCCATGACGTAGAACGTCTCACGAGCCGTTCCTAGTTCCATTTCTCCCCCCTCCTGACCACTGCCGTTCCTTTTGCAGGTCTGCTCGCGTTCGTGTGGCACCTTCTCCACTTCCTGACCCGGATGCCCAAACGGTGTCTGTACGGGTTTTGTGTAATTTCAGGTCTTCGCATCAGGGGCATATCGAGCTGTCTCATTGACGCGCCCGAGAGCTCCCCCGAGTCCTCAGAGGGGCCCCCGCCACCTCCGAGTGGTGATCCGCCCCCAGAGTCCCAAGTGCGATGTCGGCGGTTCCGGCCGGTCACATAGCAAAAGGAGGAGGAGGAGGAATAAGCGGAAGTAGCAAGCGGAGGGACGGAATCTTGAAATTTCTGGAGTATGTTGGAGTATAAAGTAAAAAAAATGCCTTTTTAGCTTGGTTTAAAACTCAAACTCGTTCTCACGCGCCGGGTTCGACGGGAGGGACGTTTCCCCTTCTTCCTAGCGTCCGCTAAGGGGGTTGTAGATAAGCCACTTTTCGATAATTCTTCCGTCGAACTCGGGGTGGCGTCGCGGTCGACGTAGACAGTGACTAATGACACACATGTGATTTTCCCTTAAAGTTGTAACGTTTTTAATATATTTTTTAGATGAATTGACTTTTTAGTTAGGGGATGGGTGAGGATTTCTGTTTTTTTACGTGTTCGTTTTTTTTATTGTTGACTTAAGGGCTGGGGCAGGGGCGAAGCGACGGGGCGGGTGCCTTTAAATAGAAAAAAAATCAAGTACACGTTAGTTCTCGGCGCTTTTGGATGTTTGTGATTCGCGATTGTCGCCCGACCGGTCTGCGCCGCTCGAGTTTGCCGGAGCATGTGGGCGTAAGAGATATAGAGAGATATTCAAAATTCTAGTCACAAGTACCGATTATTTTTTTTTCAAAGTGGTACTTGCCATATGATGGAGTTCTAGTCATAGAAAAAAAGTAATATAAAGAATACTCTGTATAAATAAATAACGATATTATGCAAAAGATAGCTATAAAAATTGTACTGTTATTTATTAATTTCTAGACTGCTAAGATATTGTTTTTATTTTTGTTTTAATGTACATTTTTTGTTTTATTATTACCTAGTGCTGTATTTATAAATTATTATAGTTATTAAACTAAATTCAAAAAGAGACGTTTTTTCTTCATCTCGACGTAGAAGACAACCGCACCGACCAACAGAATTCCCCTACCTGAGTCCACTTGTTTGTTTGTCTGCATCATATAAGAATAACATCCATTCTCAGATTATTTTGGTAGCAAAGCGATCCAGAAATTACCGACCAATTTCTTTGCTCTCGATACCAGGTAAATTGTTGGAAACAATTATAACCAAAGTCTTTTTTAAATTGAAAAGTGTCATAATAGAACAGCATGTTTTTTTCCAAGATGTTCAGTTTGTATCGGAAAGTATAGATGAGAGATATGAAGTAGATGCCGTATTCGCTGATTTTACTAAAGCTTTTGATAAAATTCATCATTCTACTTTGTTTGCAATCTCCTAAGATGGATAAAATCAGATTTATCCAATAGCTCACAATGTTAATTACTTTGCTTCAAATTATGTCAAAATTACATTGGGTATACCACAGGAATTCTATTTGGGCCCTTTATTCTTTTCTTTATTTATCAGTGATATTAGCGCTTGTTTATTTTTTTCATTAATTAATTAATTAATTAGTAACTTGAAAATAAATGACAATCGCTCATTCTGTGTAGGAGTAATACAAAAGCCTAAAAGAACCCAATATTTGCCCGTTACAAAAAAATACAATACCTATGTTTTTTAGTCACAAATATTCTTATCTTAATCTATCATTAAATATATTAAATCCTATAAAACGCCCAACTTTTTTTATATTCAATAACTTTTGATCAGATATTTGCTCATATAAAGTACAATACTACATGTAATATGGCTTGTATTACTTTTCTTTAGTTTTAGACCTTAAATTTAGCTTAAGATATTGACGTTCTTGGTCTTGACCACTATTTTTTTTAATGTACCTTGTCTACCTTTATTTGGTAATATCTGTTAGTAGTCGAGGAACTAAAGCTCAAAAAGAGCCGAAATCTTCGAAATTTTTCGATCAAGTATCAAGAAGGAGTTTTTTGCATTCGCTTTCTAAAATTATGTGAAAAAAAGGTATCAACTGTGTATTATGTTTTTCGGCCAAATTGCATTTGTGCAGTGCAAAATGCATCCGGAAAAATGCATTTTTTAAAGTCACTTAGAAAAAAATCATAATTCGGTTAATAATGCCTGGAATGGACTCGGGCTTCTCCTGAATTTCACTCTTAAATGCAATAAGACTTGACACCTAGGGGTTTTTTTGGTCGCTGATTCCTAATCTGGCGTCGGCGAGCACCCCCCGACACCTGGTGTACCGGAACCTGGACATGGACATCATCTCCGGGAGTTTTCCTGTAAAATTCGCGTAAACAAGCCGAAAATCGCATTAGGGGTTTTTTCGGGGCGCTCTTCTCGAAGTGACTAAAAAATGCATTTTTCTGGACATAATTTTAGAAACTGAATGCAAAAAAACCCATCTTGATACGACTTGATCGAAAAATTTCGGAGGTTCAGTGCTTTATTTCCTAGATTACAGCATTATATGAATTTGGTGGCATAAATAAATAAATAAAATAAAAAACCTTAACAGTTAGGTGAACAAACACTTCCCTACTAGAAAAGAGATAAAATAAGTCCTTATAGATTAACCATTGGTTTTTCACTAGCCGGGCGGAACAAACTAGACTTTGTCTAGTAAAATTTATCAAGTTATTTACTTCACCGTTGTATTCTTCGTAATCATAACCTTGGACTTTAACCCTTACACAGTCCGACACACCTATGGCGCCAAACTAAGCCTTATCGTAGACATGCAGACAGCTCAAGTGTCTCATAAAATGGCAGAGACGGATTCAGACAATAAAACAATTACAACAATCCTAAATTATCAGATACGGATACGCCCCAATTATTTTCGTAAAGTAACAGGGACAGCTTCAGGCAATAATGCCACATTGAACATCCCGTAAGGGGCTAAATGAATGTGCATTTCCTTCAACTGAAGCTACATACATATTAAAAACCGTAAATTATGGAAATATATGGATAAATACCCTAAAATAACAGGAAGGGAATTAGGTAATAAAAGGATGCTAATTTACACATGCTAAACTTTACCTAATGATAGAAACTCTTCAAAATAAGAAAAAATTTATACAGGGTCGGAAAGTCCCCATGGTTCATCGGGCGTTACGTGAGAGCGGTAAAGTAGGTCATAGAAATCCGTGCGATAGAGAAAGATGGCTATAATGAAGGCGTCTAATAGTCACCGCCCATTTCGCTCTTCCACAAATAAGAAGTGGATCTTATTTGTAATGGAAAATAATTTTGTTTGACATTGTATCACTGCGACATGTTATTTTGTTAATGTTAGTTAATGAACATAAAAAATAATTAAAAATATTTACTAATGTGATTGATCTGAAATACGTATTTTTTAAATCAATTTATGTTTTTAATAAAAAATAATTGTTACTATTTTTCAAAGCACTGTATTTAGTTTCCAAATCTCAGTGTTAATGACTTCTGACATTAACCTAGTTTAGTGAACTAACCGATATCAATACACCAGATGTAATATGACAATATCATGCTAGGCGAGCAAAAAAGAAACGGCCAATATTAATTCCGGGGAACAAGAATGGTCGGATATGTTATCAGTTATCACCTCATTTTATTACAGTTAGTTTAGTTTACAGTGTATCGGTTTACGGATATTTGTAATTTTGCAACTTTTGTGAAGTATTAGTTTTTACCAGAATTGAAACAAAATTTGTGTAGTGCAGTTGTTTTATCAAGTTTAATTTTATCGGAAAATTTAAAAAGCATAATCTTTTAATTATTTATTTTAGTGTTCAGTAACGGTACGGTGTTTATGTGTCTTCATTGCTAAATTTCTGTGATATTATGAAAAAAACAAGTATACATACTAAGAAAGATGAGATCTAACAGCAATGCATTTCCCAATTGGGTATGCGTGCACGGCTAGCGCAGGCAATTGTTCCGAGGTTATACTAGGCTGTCTAGCGGCGGGGTATGCAAATTACGAAGAAAAATATTTAAAAACCCAGTTTTCACGTCGGAATTTCGGAAAAAAGTTATGTGTTTCTAAAGGTCAAAGATAGTTTTCACATAAATATGACCCCGTTAAATGTTACACCCTATATAAACACGTCGTAGAACACTTCGTTTTAAAAAAAAATCAACGGTGAAATTTAAACAAAAAATCACATTTATTTAAATCTCTTAAAATGTCTGACGTAGATTGGATGAAACTTGGAATAATGACAACTAATTTATGGACAAAAATGTGTTGAGTTGAACCACAAATCTGTCTGCCAGTGGCGGAGACCATGGGAGACATCTTCACTAAGAACTTCGGCGATACTGAATATTTTTTCAAAGGAAAACAATTAAACATAGATAATAGATATTAAAATCTAAAACTTCTTTCATGGACTTGTACACTTCTAACGTTTTATCTTTAAGCATTACAGTATCAGATAATTTATAGTTGCGCAACACATTTTATATCTTATTGTCAAAATTGATGACAGCATTTCAGGTGACATTGAATTACTCACACTTTTTCACATCGGGAGTTCGTTGCCCAAATGTCCAGGTAGAAAATCAGTATAATATATGGAAAGATCAGGTTGTGAACTACAATTTCCTGTCGTATTAATGCTGTATTCATCTCCGGTAATCTGTATTACGGGTGTTTTCATTCCTACCTCTTTTTTCGGGTGTTACTCAAACTTTTGAAAACATTGAATGAAAATAGTTATAATGATTTTTTCATGTCACATTAATAAAGAACAGGTTTTAAAAGATAAATCCATATAGTACATACCTACATAGTAGACACAATATATAGATATTTTCTCCGGGCTGGAAAAAAAAAGTGGAGCCAGCGCTTATAGCCTAAAAAGTAAAAATATGAATGAAGTAAGTAAAACACAGGCAAATTTTTGCCGGGATCGATTCATACAAAATGCATGTCGCATTTCGTTTGGTTTTAGATAGCTAAATATTTGACCAATTTGCTTTAGTTGACTGGTTGCCCAATTAACTTTGTAAAAAACCGCAAAGTTCGACTGCCAACTGAGCTCTAATTGCGGTGCCCCCACATAGTTTTCTTAAGGAAGGAATAATTTTCCCCTGTTAAATAGCTCATAGAAGGAACGTTTGATGCTCCCCCTTTCGAACAAACTTTGTTTCATGGATTTTCATCAAGAAACGAAAGAGTAGTCGCACATTTAGTGCAGCGCCGTTTTGAAATATGTGTTTTCTGGCTGGTTTGCGTAATAATCGTTTTTTGTACAGTTTTCCGACCATTTCCCGAATTTTCCCGGATCCCGCTACCGTGCAGAACAATTTTCTTTCCTCATCTACCAGCAGAATGCTTGGCACGTGCATAAAATTGTGCACTTCGGAATTAATGCCATCTCAAAACCTCTAGCAGCTGGACTAATATGACAATTTTTTAGAAATATAATTTAAAAATATTAGTAATTTATTTTTTGCGTTTATTTTCCCTCAGAAAAAAGTTCCTACGAAAATGATTTTTTTTTGTACTTTGGAGCACCCTGTAAACAGATAGGTATCGCTTATTTGCTTTGTAAAATGGCAGGGGCGGCTTTGACCAACGATAACTCAGTATTAATGGATTTCCTCATTCCATTCCTTGGATGACTAAAGGTATATGAACTATATGAAGATAATTTCTACAACTAAAACCGGATGCAGAGTGAAACGGAAGCTCAAAATAATCCTAATATAGAGGTATATCCCTTGTTTTCTTTTATTTTCGCAACATCATATTTAGACTAGGCGGTATCTGTTTTGGTTTGGGTGAATCGTATATCCACGGAGATTTTTGGCTTTTTGGCTTTCAAATATCACTAGAAATGAAAATTTTTCTATGCGCATAAAAAAAACGTAGGCTTAACTTTTGGCGGCACAATATGTTAAAAAAATTCGAAAAATGTCATATTTTTCTTCTTATTTAATTATGTATCTTTTCAAGAGTTGATTTTAGGCGAAAATGGAAGAGGAAAAAAATGTTTG